TCATGATCTGAAAATAAATTATTTAGATGGTTGGCCTATTAAATAGAGAATCCAGCTTTCAAAACACAATTTAATACTTTGGCCATTACACTAAGAAAATCTAGCTCTATGTGTTTTAAACACAGTATTAGTTACAGAGACCTGATAAATATCTTTCCATCTATTAAATACCAACATGCAGAATAAAAGACTCAGAGAAAGTGGCCCTGTCTGGTGGCCAGAGGTCACAAGACACAGAGGGAGCTGTTCTCATGAGTTATGGACACCACTCCTCAGCTCATCTATGGGAACTGCCACAAAGCTCTGTGGCCAGAAGATCTCTATCTCCCCAGGTGTCACTAAATATATGCAATGACTCACATCTAGAAGGCAACAATAAACGCACATTGGCCTATTAAATAGAGAATCCAGCTTTCAAAACACAATTTAATACTTTGGCCATTACACTGAGAAAATCTAGCTCTATGTGTTTTAAACACAGTATTAGTTACAGAGACCTGATAAGTATCTTTCCATCTATTAAATACCAACATGCAGAATAAAAGACTCAGAGAAAGTGGCCCTGTCTGGTGGCCAGAGATCACAAGACACAGAGGGAACTGTTCTCATGAGTTATGGACACCACTCCTCAGCTCATCTATGGGAACTGCCACAAAGCTCTGTGGCCAGAAGATCTCTCTCTCCCCAGGTGTCACTAAATATATGCAATGACTCACATCTAGAAGGCAACAATAAACGCACGATACCTGTGACTAACACAGCTTGTATCACTTTTCATTTGCTGCTCTGACTAGAAGCTCACTATCAAACTGAGATGCGTCATTGCCTTTCATTTGACTTTATGAGCTTTACTGGACACATCCTAACCAATCAATATCCAAATAGATTTTCATTGTACTTGACTATCAAAAAACACCTATATGTAACATTCCAATGTTCAGACATTCACATAATGGCTAAAAAACAAGAAATCTAGATCACTCTTATGGATATTACCTCACAGAAACCATCTGCAAGTGATCTGTGTATTTGCTATTTAAAGACTGCGACCAGAGGGTCCCCAGATCAAGTTACAACTTGAAACAGAAAAGAATGTCCCCAGAAAACCCAGATATCTCTTCAGGCATTAGTATCCACTAAAATCAATAAAAATTGTAAACCCATGCAGAAATTGATTGAGACATAAGAAAGGAAATGTAAACTAGTTAGGTTCCTAGTTTAGAAATGTCACAATCCCACTGACAAAAAATAAGCACTTCCAATCACCTTCACCACTCAAGAGTCTAGAAACAGCCATGATAGTCCTATCAGGCAAACCTCTAAGAGAACCAAATTTTCTCAATGCATTTATGCTCAAAAGAGTCACTGTACATTCCTTTCAGAATCAGCTTCATCAAATTTGCTATTTTCAGCCATGAAATAGAAGTAAATGAGACAGACATGTAGTTATCACATGATGCGGAAGCTCTACATGTCCCATTTTCTTCTATCTGCCTCATGACTACACCCTACAACCAACAAGTTTGATTTGATAACAAGAGCCTCTTTGAGGGCCAAGGCATTGCTTCATTTTGGGCCCTCTCTGAAGGACAGAGGGAAGCCAGTGTAAAGGAATCGGCCCACACTCTCTCCTTAAAACTGTGTAACCGTGTGTCTATTACTAGTCCCCAAGGCAGCAGTCACACGTGAAAAAAGCATGTACCACTGCTCCAAATGCGCTCTAGGTCCTATTTCAGGTATGATTCCACAGATCTCGTCCACATGGGTTAAAGATGGTAAGATGGGATTACTTTCTCAGTAACCTTTTTGGGGTCATCTATGTCTAGGGGTAATTTCTTCTTTAAGGGATAGACCAATGCTAACTTTTGCTTTGGCTAGAAATAAGGGCAACTCATTCTTGTCTGCACTAGGCCCTGAAAATCACCACGAGATTTCTGTGGGCTACATGAGCTTAGTTCTTGCAAGAAACACTCAGCCTTGGGTCTAAAAATTTAGAAGAGGGAGCAGGGGCGGCAGTGATAAAGCTATGAAATGACAGAGGGGATGAAAACCCTAGGATCTGGGGGCCGCTTACTGAGGCCTAGAGAAGACCCCAGAGGACACCAGGATGTGCTGGCAGTGACAGCTGAGACGCAGAGTCTGCAGATCTTCTTCCACCAGGCAGGAGGTTCCTAACCAAACCTGGCTGAAAAGGTCATTTGGAGTCTTGCCCATGGTATCCTTCTTTGGGCCTCTCTTCCTATTGTCCCTGTCCTAGACCATCTTCTGCATACTTCTGCTTCCAAACATTTCCTCCTCTATTTTCACCAGTTTTTTACTTGTGCTTATTCATTCTTTTTATTTCTTTTCTACCTCCCTCTCTCTTCTATGCTGTGCTTTTTTCCAACTGTAGAAAATAAAGAATAAAAGAAAAACTTAAAAGCTACAAAAAAGAAATAAGTGCTCTTCTACTCTCTCGCTTTTTCACTCTGGTGAAGTAGCTCACCTGCAAGGATGCTCCATCTTTCTTTATGAACCTGTTTCCTCACCAGACCCCACTCTCAACCAGGCCAGATGAGAGGGCAAGGCGAAGGCAAGTGACAAAGCGTCCTAGAGTCAGAACCACCACGAGGGATGCAGCTCTTCAGAGCTGTAACTCCACTGTATTCACTCTGGTGAAGTAGCTCACCTGCAAGGATGCTCCATCTTTCTTTATGAACCTGTTTCCTTACCAGACCTCACTCTCAACCAGGCCAGACGAGAGGGCAAGGCGAAGGCAAGTGACAAAGCGTCCTAGAGTCAGAACCACCACGAGGGATGCAGCTCTTCAGAGCTGTAACTCCACTGTACGTGTATTTCATTTTTGAACCATTTCAGAATGCAAGTACCCTTAGATTAGAGATGGAATTTTTCTAGATGGGTAATATACCACTTATCAGTGCTACCACTGACATTTATGAAGAATCTGATGCTTTGAGTTTTAAAACTTTTAGTCTTTTTATTGCTGCAATGTAGCTGTGAATGGAAACTCCAGAAAGATCCATTATGGGGTAGGTGACTGATCTGAAAATATAGATTCTAGATATGCTGTTATTCACAGATGTAAGTGGAACCTTTGGAATACTGACATACAAAACAGAAAGGCCTAGTATTTAAGATGAAGGATATCACTGAAGTATCTCTCAAGTAAAATGCAAAGAAAAAGATAGTCGCTTGGGCCTAAGTTTATAAATAAGACGTCAAATCAGGCACACAAGGGGTGCTTGTTTGGAAAGATGGAAAGGAAGACTGCTTGCCTTGCTCGGTGAGCGTCTGAGTGTCTGCACGTCTGGTGGTGCCCTGCTCTAAAAAACCACACCTTACTTAGCACACCCAGGGGTCCAGTGAATCCGGGCCAGTGGTCCTGGAGAAGTCTCTTCCCACTGCCCTTCCCCTAATCAGCTCCTGTGCACCAAGGTACTTGCTCTTTAGTTAATTTCTTGGGTTACATGCGCTCTTAAATCCTCCCTTGCAAGGCACTCCTCTTACATTATCATTATTTACTGAATGTGGCACACTGGATTGTTTGGCTCTTCTTTTGGACTACTGCTCCACAGGACAGGGGTTGTCTGTTTTTATTAACCTCAGGATTCCCATGGCTCAATTCAGGCATTCCATAAATATTTGCAAAATGAATATCTAAACATATATAAATTCATTACCACCAGTGAAGATACCACTTAAAGTGGTTTCTCCCAGGAGGATATGAATAGAGTCCTGGCTATACATTACCAGGAAAACACTGACCAGGTTTAGATCTGAATAAAACAGTGAAAATGATAAAAATATAGTGAGGGATAGGTCATGCATATCCTAAAAATATAGTACATATGAACTATTTCTTATACTAGGAAAGATGTTGCACTAGTTAAGCTTCTCAGATTAACATGGCTGCTAATTACACCAAAGATTCTGTGTTAAGACGTGACTACCGTAGCTTCAGTGCCTGATGACAACAGCAAATAATGTGGCTATCCCTATAAGCTCACCTGATGCAATTTAAAAAATAACATCAACTTGAACCCATGAAGAACTTAGACACGGACTCTGCCGGATATAACGACAGAACAACTGATTCTGGCCAGCTGACTAGATAATCCAATGTGAAAAAAAGTAACAAAATACGAGGGTTTACGTTTCACTGTGCAGAAATATTCTGAGAATATATGTTTAACGGGTAAATGGTTATTGATTTAAGTTGAAAAGATGGGAGGACTAAGCAACAACAAAATAAAACTAGTTGTCCTGTCAACTTGGACATTTTATATATCAGATTAAATATCTTTTGAAAAAGTATTATATTCTAGTATTAACTAGGAAGGAGCACTATTTCAGTAATAAAACCAGTAACTTACATTTAAAATCCTGAAAAATTTTCATTATGTTTGTTTCATGACTATAAATTTACTTGCTAAAGGTCAAATTATCTGAGAAATAAAAAGAAGGTAACAATTCTTCTTACACATGTGCAGTGCTAATCACATAATATTTTTGGATCTTAACTTAATCATAACAGGTTTGAGGGGTGGCATTATGCATATTTCAAAGTATCTTCACCACCCTCATATTTAAAAAATAATTTTATTTGCGTTATATATCAATCACTGTTCTTCATATTTGTTAAAGACAAAAATGACTTTTCACATTATAATCATTTGGAATAATCTGGTGCAGTGGGACTGTCTCTACTTAGGTATATTCCTTGAGTTTGAGATGTAGGGTTAAGAAGAAAAATGGCAGAAAGAAAAAAATCTCCTTTCTTTTTCAAAGTCATCTCAGGTACAAGGCATATTGCTTGCATAAATATGTGGTCCATAGAAGGGAATGAGTTTAGGAAGCTGGCTGCCAGATGTTCCTGCCCGGGTTATTGGGTTTGGCATGCTCCCACGGGGGTCTCCCCTGGAACTGGTCCTGCACAATGACAACACCCAGAGCTGTGTCCTTCCCCCACCAAGTGTACTCTGAGGCACTGCGTCTGTTACCTGTGCACTGTGGGCAGCAGGAGTCCTGGGTGCGTGAGGGGTTCTGGCACAGCAGCGGTGGGCACACCTCGGTCTCACACAGCACCCGGCCGCTGTGGCAGGTGCACTGAGTACAGGAGTCGATGTTCCATGTTTCTCCTTCCACAAAGTACTCTCCTCCAGGGGCGTGGCAGATGGAGGGGGTGCTGAGCTCTGGCTTCTGCACCACAAAGTCATCTGGGGAATGACACAAAATCAAGCCACAAGACATTATTCATCTGAAGCCCTCCAACTCTTGCAGAATCTGGTGCTGTTTGCTTTAAGGGTCAGAAAAGATGAATTGCCTGAAGAGTACCTCATTCTATTCTTATCAAGAAATAATGAAGAAAATAAAATAAAATATTCCATGCAGAGAAACAGACAATGACACAGAGCTAATCTCAGGAACTGAAGTTCAAGTGGTTTCAAGTCTGTCAACAGTAATGAGAGAATTCAATAAGATAATTAAATTACAAGGCGGGGAACTCCTACTCTAGAGAGGAGAAAAGGGGTCTCTTTGGACATCTCTGAGAATATGTAGCAATTGTCCAGAATAGAGACCTCTAATTTATTGGATGCTATTATTAGAATAAAGACCTCTCATTTACTAAATCCAATTATTTCCACACTAAGCACTTTACATTTATTCATTTAATTTCCTCTTTACATCAACCTTGTGAGGTAGGTACAATTATTCTGTTTTACATATGAGGAAACTGAGGGCTCAGAGTATTAAGAGCAGACAAGAAACTAGAAACCCAAGTCTGTGGCTGTTTGGATCATGGACATGCCTCCAGATTAAACAAAACTTCCAAATGATCTATGTCCTATCCACTTCATTATCTCTGGGATCCTGACTACTTTTATGTTTAGAAATATGCCCTGCTGTTAAGCAGGCCACACCCCAATCTTAACCAGCCAGCAAACTGAGCAGGAATGCTCCTGCACAATCAACAGTCTGAAAACTCTCACCTGAGACTAAACATTTGCTTGGTGATACCATCAATAAGAGAGGCAAATGCTGAGAGGCTGATGAGAACTGTGATTTCTTTCCCCAGAGGAGAGGTGGTCTGGGTCTCTTGGTGAGAGGATAATGATAGAGAGGGAATTTATTGTTGAAAATGTCTGAAGAGGTACTGGGAGTCGCCCTGAAGTTGGGCTGAGGAAATGGGAAGTAGGAAGACAGAAACCACATTCGTGTAATCCAAATACAACAAGCGCTTCAAGAAGGTGTGGACAGCGTTGACCTCTGCTGAGAAACGGTCTGGAGACACCAGGACTAGCTCATGCTTGGAGCTCAGGGGAAGTCGGGCCCCAGGAGAAGAACCCTGTCTGTGCGGGGCTGCTCACAGCTGAAGACCCTTAAGAGGGCACTGGGGCTGTCACTTTCAAAGAGGTGGTCAGCGCGGGCGTCAACTACACTGAGGAGATAAAGCGGTGTGGACTGATTCCAGTGACTTTTCATATAGCTTTATCTCCTGGGGACTAGTAAAGACTGGAACTTCTTTTTTTTTTTTTTTTTTAAAAGATGACTGGTAAGGGGATCTTAACCCTTGGATTGGTGTTGTCAGCACCACGCTCACCAAAGTGAGCAACCAGCCATCCCTATATGGGATCCGAACCCGCGGCCTTGGTGTTATCAGCACCGCACTCTACCGAGTGAGCCACGAGCCGGCCCCTAAAGACTGGAACTTCGACCAAGTGGACATATCATAGAAATCTGACATTAATCAGTACTTACATTCACAAGCAACCGTTCGAAACTTTCCAGTATAGGAATGGCAGAGAAAAGGTAATTCAAATGAACATTGAGCTGGGACAAGATAAATGAAGTGCATTTCTAGAGGTTTACAGAAAAAAAAAAAAATTGTTCCGAAGACCATCAATGAACGAATGTTGGGAAAAGGCTCCCTTATTGCTTTCAAGAGGGGCTTAGAGAGGACTGACAGTTATTGCCCCTTTAAATGCTGCCATGTAGGGAAGAGGTCAGAAGAAAGAGGACATGTGTGTTCCCAGGTGTCGTATTTTGCTAATCCCTTTGCTATACTATGTGCCTTAAGGCAAGACATGGGAGAGGCCAGAGAGATGAAGAAAGAAAAACTGAAAGGCAGAGAGGGTGAGAAAGAGAGAAAAAATCTGAGAAACAATATCATTTGGGGAATCTTCTACCAGGAGAGTTCAGGAGCTGCTCACTTATCCCAGCAAGATAAACAGGTGACTCTTGAATGGAAGAGGGGAGAAAAATACTCTTTAAAGTAGGAGTCCATGAACATAACAGCTCTAGGGTCTCTAGTCAGAATAATCCACATATGGCAATCCACTAAAGTAAGGACTTTTGGAAAAATGTACCTCTACACATTCATATATAGGAATGTGTTTTTGTACATGGATATCTAGATATTCACACACCAACAATAACATGTCAATAACTCTTTGTGTGTGTGTGTATAAATACTTTCCATATCTCTGTAATAGAGAAAAATACTTCTGGCTCCACCGACTTTCAGATCTTAGCTCAATTATCTATTCTTAATCATGTCTTTGCATTTCTACCAGTCTGAGTCTTAGAATCCTTCACCAAGGAAGGATTTGTTCAGCAGAGACCCAGGTGCAAATCCACACTCTACACACTCACACCTATAAATAAAGCATGGGTCTTCATGGGAACAAATGATTTTTCCTTTCCTGAAAAGTCAACAGAATTCTATCTCATTAAATTGCCCGTTTACCTTCTAATGCAGTGGACACTAGTGGTTTTCACATCTAACTAGCAAAATCTAAAAAAAGGAAAGAGCTTTGATACAGAGCACATCTAACTGAACTACGGGGAAACAAAACAAGCCATCACTTTTGCATTGCGATCTGGTCCTTTAAAGGGGTGTTGGAGCTGCCTGTCACTTTGATGCTGTGGTTACGGAGGCGTGCACAATCTCAGACATGAAGCGGACTTTGAGTGTCCCCCTCTCCCATCCCTTGCCATGGCAGTCGAGGCAGGTGCAGCTTGGCCAGCATGAGCCACCTTCCCTCCCAGGCTAGTCCTGCTGTGCCAGGCCTCAGGATCCTGACTAGTACCCTTTGCATAGGCAAAGTCAGTCACAGGGAGATAGAGGACCAGGAATAACCAGAGGAAACGAATCATAACTCCAAAATCTGACAGCACATTTAAACTTTAAAACAAATCTGATGTGAGAATCAGGAGCCTTTACTTTCTCCCTGGCCAGCTGACACACAATTTTACTTTGAGTTAAGAGACTTAATCTTTCTGTGTCTGTTTTCCAAATGAAGAACTGCCTAAATGTATTTTTCCCTCACAGAGGGAGAAATAATAGATATGAAACTGCGTTGAGCTCTTTGGATAAAAGGCACTAGATGAGGTATTATGGTAATAATTACTGTCATTGACAACCATAATTAAGACATCCATGAATTACAAATCTGTTCTGTTCTTCTAGTAACTTGAGTGATTACCATCATTATGATCTCAAATGGTTTGGATGTGTGGTCATTCTAAATTTCTCAAGTGTCACATGCCCACTAATTTAAAAAAGAGCATTAGCCACAGATTTCAATAATTCTCTCCCTCTCATATATAACTTTATAAGTGATAAACTTTTATGGAATAAAACCAGCACCAATCTCCTCAAATTAACAAAGACATCCTGCCTTAATACACCATCAGTAAAATAGAGAGTTGGAATTTAAGTACGTAAGCCCACAAACCTTTACAAAAATGTAGTTCAGAGACCAATATAATTGAGTAAGCCATTCAAAAACAAGGAGAACAGTTTCCAGAGCTTTAGAATTTTCTCTAGTCTACGGTTAATCATTTCTAGGGCCTGAATGATTCTGTGGCTGTTGCTGACAAAAAACACAGAGAGCTGAAAAGCCTTGTGGGGCCATCCCCTGTGTTCTCGCCAGAGTTCCAGGTGCATCTGAGGCCCCGTGAGGCAGAAATCATTGGCTTATGGAGCACGCAAGACAGCAGCAGCTTTTACCTGCACATGACGGGCAGCACTGTCCAGGATGAATGGTGGGGTTGCCACAAGCAGGCACTGGGCAGGTGATCAGGGCACACATTTCCCGTCCATTGTGACAGTAGCATTCCCGGCACCCATCATGCCAGCTTTCCTCATTTTTATGATGATGGCCATCCATGGACAGACATGTGCCTGACAGGACGGGTGGCCCGGCTGAAGCAGGGACCTCTGGACAGACAGAAGGCAGCCTGGTAAAGCAGCAGCTACTGCACAGAAGAAACAGCCTGCAATGTCCTTACATGATATGAAGGTCACCAGAAATCAAGTCACCAGAAATCATGTCAACGAAGGACAGGTTAGGGACACGGGAAAGGCTCATGAAAAGCATTTAAGTTAATACGCTCTATACGCTCTCAATTTTGAAAAAAGAAAAAAAGACATAGAAAAAAGCCTGTGAATACATTCCTCTCCTATTGGTAGTATTATGGCTGATTCTTTACTCCTTTCACTCCACTTTTTCATATTTTATCTAATAAACAAGCACTGATTTTATAATGTATGTTATGCATATGTTTAATATATGTACAATATTCACTCTAGAAGCTTCATTCAACAGGGAAATCCTGGGTTTTGCAAATAATAGATTTTCGTTCAGCAAAACAATTGTATTGGTGACTAGATTTTTATTTACTCTGATCCCTTAAAAACACCACGAAAGCAACAACTGTCCAACTATGAGGAAAACATAGAACAGTTTAGGGATCTTTTATTGCTTAATCTGTGGATCACGCTGACAACTCTGATATACTGGATGGGTGGTGGGGCTGGAGCCAGGGCAAGGGTCAGGGTGCATGCTCAATGACCTCAGGAAAGTCCCTGGAGCAGGAAGTCTCAGGCAACAGAGATACCTAGGATTCGTGCTCATACACAGCTACAGACTGGCAGGTGCTTATTCAGCCAAAGTCTAAGTTTCTTATGAAAAACTCTGTTACCAGGAAATACATGGGCAGATTTTTTATCTACACTCACCCTCAAGAGCTTTGAAATGGGGATCTTTACTGTATCAACTGTATAGGTTCTACTCCTACACAGGAGGGGATCCTATGGGGGTTGAGATAAATGTGTTTTAGGAGTTCCTGACACAAGCAAAGGTGAAGAGCTACGAAGTGATTAATTTGGCCAGTGTGCTTATCCATCACCTGCTTACTTTAAATTCTATTCTGAGCTTTTATTTCATTAAAATGAAAGAAAAAGGGAGTCTTGTGGGATGGTCCCATTGAAAGTGACACTTGTGTCAGAGTTGGCAGCAATCACTTAAACCATTTCATTTACACGGTGCCCTTCTGCTGTCTTGGTGCCCTTCTGCTGTCTTGGTGCCCTTCTGCTGGCTGCACTGAGAGGTAAGGATGCTGTACTCACACTTACCTCTGCACTTGCAGAGAAGACAGCCATGACTGTCCTGCTGGAAACCCAAGGGGCAGATTTTACTGCATGGGAGCTCTGGACACTTCTTACAGCGACAGATGTCACAGCCGTGCTTATTCTTCCTGGGTAATTAAAATTTTGTCAGAGGTCAGAAAATCAAAAAGTCTCAAATGATGCTCAAGTGCTCAGACCAAGGGTCAATGAAATGATATTGCCATTAAGCAAAATGACCTAACTTTTCCTCTCAAAGACTCCTGGAGTGATGTGTAATTAGCTCCCTGTGGCCATGACTGCCACCCACCCATAACCAAGGTTGAGAACTGCCCAAGCACTTACGTGCTTCTGTGATATGGCTGTCAGAGGCCTAGTGACATGACTATTGATTGAATCAGGAAAAGTGGTACCACGATACACAAAGATGAATGTGCAACTCCATAAATAGGAAGGTGAAGGATATATTATTGCTCAATGTTGGAGACTAACATTAGGGGCAAAATTCCTTTTGTTAGAGCCACAGGCTTCTTCACCTGACCACATTTTTTGAGCAATTCCAGACATTAGTAAACATTTAAAAAAGATATCTACTGAGACTTATAGAAGACAGAAGGAGAACTTAAGGATCAATAATCCTGGAAATGCTACATAAATACTGATAGGGAATAAAAGTCTTCAGAGTCTGACAGCCAGTGTCCAGTAATTACTTCTTGAGGTCCAGTTAGGAAAGAATATCAGTTTTTAAATTCTCCACCCATGGGGTGTGACCTAAGCATGTGGGATAAAGGAAAAAGGCTGAATGTTTTCTTCCTTTAATAACCTAGAGTGCCCAAATTTTGGGCTGATCAGAAAGACCACTCTAAATAAATATGTGTTTATAATAAAAAAATCACAGTAGGTTAAATGGAGATTTTCTGGACAAAAAATTCTTACCAACAATTCCTTATTTTCTCTAAAAGGAGGATGACTCTGACTGTTACAAAGGAGCTCACCCACCCCCTTTTCCTCTGTTCCCCAGCTGCAGGAATGAGGACTCTTGGGCTCAGCAGCTGCTCTGCAGGCTCTGCTCTGCCCAGCTTCCTGGGCCTCACAGAAGGAAGAGTTACTCTTTTTTATCTTCATGTTTCATCCGAAACAACATTAAGTGGCCAACACTGGTGTTTGACTAAAATAAATTCCTGTTCTTTCTTATCCTGAACAAGTGAAGGGGCTCAAAAAGAAGATAGCCCTGTGGGAAAACCCCCAACGAGCGACAGTTGTCCAAGTGACAAAGTACATTTTGCTAGGTGAAATGAGAACTGACCACTAGGGTCTACTTATTTATTTCAACATAATGAGAACAATGAATTAAATGAATTATTCATACTCATGTCCTATACTGTGTCATTTTCAAGATCTACCAAGACTTTGACTGATTTGCTTGTGCATTCATTTGTCTGCCCATCCATCCATCTATCCTTGAACCCACCCCTTCTGTAAGCACTTGCTGCATGCATACAGTAATGGCTCACTGAGCAGGTAGATACAAAGGCAACAATGGCTGCCTTCATCCTACCACTCTCGTAAGGTGGCTGGCCAAGATTTCTCTTTTGGAAGCTGTCCTCAAAACACATGTTACAGTCAGTACAATGATAATACTCAATTATCCTTGGTGGTCAACTGGGTCCTCCCTGAATGTACTTACTGACAGAAATACAAAGGGAAATCTACAATCCTCTAAAAGATTCCCCTTCAAGGTGAGGGTTGGATTTGAATGCACCCTTGATTCTGAGCTACCATAACATTGTAGCAAGTGGCTGTAGCTACCATCGTAATAATGATCCTTTATTTTACATTAGTAGTTAAGCTAAGAAATAACTCCTCTTTTATTGGTATCATATTTATATTTTAGGGTTAAGGACAATGATGATTTATTAGTTTATTTGGTAATTTTTAAGAACAATGTTCCCAATTTAATTATCCAACTAAAATTAGAAATAAGATCCCCCCACTAAACTAGAATTTTCAAAAGGAAGAATAAAAAAGATGACTGAAAGAAGATAGGCAAGAGGTGATGGATGTAAGCCCCTTATAAATACCAGCACTACATAAACATATCAAATTGGAAAGGCAGAAAGATTGAAATGGAAGAAAGCAAAGGAAAGAATGATAAAGCAAGATTCTTAAAGGTGATTTTTTAAAGGGACCAACTTGATATAAAGGCAGAAATAGGTGTTAATAAAGGCACTAAAGAAACAAATGTGATGTGTCTATTGCCCCCCTGGAAAAATACAGATTTTCATGGAGTTTGACTCAATAAATAATATTGTAAAATATAAGTCAGGGTCCTCATCTCCAAGGGAATTCATAGGATCTACTGCTACATAAAGAAAAAATACTATGAAATGTTGACTAGCTCCAAGATAAGATATGTAGGCGTACCAGGTAAGAATGCTCTGTACTGTGCATGACTGACTGTCAACCGCTCTGAGAGTATGGATTAAATAAATGATCACAAAATAGTCCCTCAGGCAGTTGTGAGAAGTGGAGGCACTTACAACACCGGGACCCCATGACAATTCCATCTCCCATTCCCCTGCGCAGTGTCCAGAGGACCTCGCTATGGGGAAGTCTCACAAAACAGGCCCAGAGGATGATCTCCCCAAAAAAATAAGAGTAAAACCTTGATTCTTATCTTTAAAGACACAATCCTTTCTCTGCTTTCTGAATCTCCTAACAAAACAGATTATTTTGGACTGAGTACATCACTGATTCATTCAAAAACACACATAAAACAGCCAATGAAACAGGTATGAACATTTCCTCATGCTACACTTAATAAGAGGTTTTCTCAATTAAGCAATACGTACAGGTATCCAAGCGGACAGTACTTGTCACAGATTATGGGTCTGCACTTCTTGGGCCGTGGGCGGCACTGACAGATCTCACAGTTGTGGGCATCGGTTAGGTAACCGAAGGGACAGTCCAAGGTGCAGCCTCGTTTAAGGCCCACGCACAGCTCCTCCCCTGTGAAGACACACAGACAGCATGTTTTTTCCAAAGATGAACAGACCAGAACATGCCGAGGCTCCAATGCCTTCCCCAAATCCTCCAATCTTCCATAGATTTAAGTTTCTCAGATCTACCATAGCATCAGTCATAGTTAAAAAGTATAGATGGTGCTGTTTCATGGTTGTCACAGCATGACTGTGTTTTGGTAGGAATATACAAAATAAAGTTAAATTCTGAAAAATAGATTTCTGAAGTATGCTCAAATCTGGTAGGTTTCGAGTGAAGAGTAGGCTGGTAACTATTAATTACTAATTATTATGCACACTAAGTGCATTTTTTCACGTGTTTTAATTAGTCACCTCAAACCACTGACGACACTTACGTTAATATGTAGGAATTAGAAACTTACTCTCCAAGTTTCATTATATACAAGTATTTTATTTCTACTGCATGCCCATGATAATGCATATTCTTAAATGTTCACATAATATTTACTCTAATGTGTGATAGATGGTATCGTACTTGTATAGCACTGCATATCGTATGCAAGCATAAGGGATTTCTTACCTTTCCTTTTAAAAAAAGTACATATCTTACAGCATGATATAAAGTGAAATACTGTACTCAGAGCTCCATTTAGGTATTTTTTCCTATAAGCTGACAAATATCTGGGTATTTGGATATACTTCATAGACTAAAAATGTATGTGTCAAAGACATATCCATATCAGTGTTGAACTAACCGCTATGTGAATTGTTCAAACTGTCCCGTTAGCAGAATCTGCAGTAATGTTTAACTGTCCCCTGTTATAATATTATTTTAGAAGGAAAAAAAAAGGAAAGAAGCAACAGTGACTGGCAAAAGAAAGTACTAGAGATACTAGCTTCTAAAATGATTTTAAAAGATGATATAAGACTTAGAGAAATAGAGGGAACAAAAATGTTAAGGGAACAAAAGTATGCTTGGTGATATAAATGAAGTAGATTGAGACCTGTCTGAGTTAAATACACAATTTGAAAGACAATCAAATTTAAAGAAGGGAAGTTGATACAGCGATGGCAAAAGTACGACAATGTTTCAATGTTGTTCTGCACAGACTGGTAAGATGGGAAGTAAAGATTATTATTGTTGGAATATAAATGAATTTTTATTTTATCTGAACATCCTTTAAGTGTAAATTTGCAATAATGCATAAGTCACTAGGAAAAACAGAACACATCTGTCCCCTCCACACACACATCTTATAATCTAAAATTAAACCTTAAGTACAATTAATAGGTGAAATGGGTCCACGTTCTACATAAATATTTTAAGATAGCACCTTTCGTAAATTTTAGCTGGCAATGCTTGCATATTTTACTTGCAATTTTTTAATAAGGAAAATGTGATTTACAGTATAGTTTTCTACTCTGCCATTATAATAAACCTTTCATTACACATATTTAATATAACCTCGTGGGTCTGTATCACACTGTGAAGCAACTGATTACTAATATGCATCCTTAAAAGAGAAATTTTAAAGGGTTCATTTAAAAATTTGTAATTATATGACTTGAAAGGTCATTGTTTTTCACCTCCCATTTTTAAGAGAATGATGAGGGAGGGAGAAGACTTTCATAGCCACATTTCTTCTCTGATGCAGAGATCTAAGTTGTGAACCCATTTTTCTATTACAAGAATTTTAAAGTCACGATAGCAAATGGATTATGGTTGGCAAATAGATGGATTAAAACCACTCCTAGAACTTCTCAGAGTCAGCATCCTTGCAGATTAAATTTCTTGAAACTCTGAAGTCCAAGCACCTTTGTGCTTTTATTTTTCTGGTCCTGTAATATGGAAGTTTGTCCACAGACCCTGATCTAGAATGTTCTTCACTCACCCTTAAGTAAAACTGATGTATCGCCATTCAAGTTTAAACAGTTTGATAAAAATTCCTCTGCTTTGCAATGGAAGAGAATTCCAAATAAAGGCTGCCATGTTTAGACAAAAATACAGGTCATTCACCAGGAAGCAGACTGTCTCTGCCACCTAGGAGCAGGATGCTCCAGTGCGTCCCTGACCTGGGACCACTCACCTGCACGCTACTATCTGACCTGTCACCATTCTGCTGCCTGACGAAGGGAGCTCTAGGACCAGGCCCTGTTTTCTTTGTGTGCAGTCTAGGGACTGTCACGGTACTTGGCATGGAGTGGGTGTTCAACAAATTCTTGCTGAACAAACACATCAATCAATGTTCTCGCTACTTATTCCTCCACCCTCATCAAGACTACTGCATTTAACAGAGAAACACTGGCATGAAAAATACTTATTCTGATAGTACTGAAAATTCCCAAAGTACTGACATTTGCTAAACATATCACAATATCATTTTCTAGTTCAGAAATAGAGAACATTAAAGAGTGGAAGGTAGCCCTATATCCATGTATATCAATTATGGACTCTTCTTAAGAGAAATGAACCATCAAGGCAAACATTTAAATGAAGAGCAGAACAGACAGTTCAGAAAAACCTTATTCATAAAAGGGTGGGTTTTTTTTTTTTTTAAGTTTGTTTGAAAAGCTTTAGTATCACTCAAGGCAACTGTGGAAAAAAAGATGGCTTTATGTTCATAATTTTTCAGCATTATGAATTTACTGTGATCTAAAATCGCTTTCTAATCCATGGGGGAAAATTACTAGTGAAGAGAAAGTGACAGAAAATGGCAAAGTGTAGGGACTGTACGTTATGGCCGGTCGATATGAACTATGTAGTAAACTCTGTATTCATTCTGGAAAAAAAGAGATGTTTGCTCCTAGGGCCAAGATGAGACATAACTGTAGAGAGCCTCACTCATTCTTTACTGTAAGTGAGTACAGAATAACTTCCACAGAGAATGTAACGTGGATGGAGCCCTCTATAGTTGCACACTTCTTTGCTGCAATACTTCAAACTCTGGAATACTGGCAATTTCTGCCAAACTGTTATCAGTTAAGGATGGCCATGAAGTTCCTGAGACTCTTAAATAACGAAATGCAGCATTGCAAATGGTGTCCCAATCTTGACCCTGATAGATGTTAGTTCAGAATTACAACGAAATGAAAATCAGGAGCCCGCCTCCCTATGTTTAATGCTGCAACCTTCTTGGGATGCTTTGTTTTTTTTTTTTTTAAGTTTGTTTGAAAAGCTTTAGTATCACTCAAGGCAACTGTGGAAAAAAGGATGGCTTTATGTTCATAATTTTTCAGCATTATGAATTTACTGTGATCTAAAATCACTTTCTAATCCATGGGGGAAAATTACTAGTGAAGAGAAAGTGACAGAAAATGGCAAAGTGTAGGGACTGTACGTTATGGCCGGTCGATATGAACTATATAGTAAACTCTGTATTCATTCTGGAAAAAAAGAGATGTTTGCTCCTAGGGCCAAGATGAGGCATAACTGTAGAGAGCCTCACTCATTCTTTACTATAAGTGAGTACAGAATAACTTCCACAGAGAATGTAACGTGGATGGTGCCCTCTATAGTTGCACACTTCTTTGCTGCAATACTTCAAACTCTGGAATACTGGCAATTT